ATTCGTTTCTTTTTTTCAGTGTTAATCGTAAAAAAAAGAAATGCTGTAAATATCGCCGAATGCCTCGACAAAACTAAATGTTCGAGGAAGAAAAAAAGAAGTAAGCCCACACGGTGGATAGAACCTGGGTTTGCTACGTACGAGGCAAACATCTGGAAACTAAGTTTCGCTACCGCTTCGGAAACTCGCATTGTAACCACTGCCTATGTTGACGGCGGCAGCGCCTATTTCATTTCATTTCATTTAATTACCTCAAATCGCCCGAGGGTATTTCACAAGGGGGAAGAAAAAAGTTCAAACAGGTTGTATTACACAAAATACGTAAGAATAAAAAAATAAAAAAATGGGATTACACAAAACTGTAAAAAGTAAAGGGTAAGTACTCATTCAAATTGTATACAAACAAAATTAGCGAAATAGTTCTTCGCAAACATTTCTATATAAAAAAAAAAACGCAAACAGGATTGCTCGGGTGTGCTAAACACATTTGTAATACATAAAATACATAAAAAAAAATTGGGATTACACAAAACTAAAAAGTAATGGGTATCTACTCATTCAAATTGCATATATACATACAAGATTAGCAGAATAATTCTCCGCAAGCATTTCTAAATAAAACGCAATCAGGACTGCTCACCACGCTTTCCCCCCACGTAAGTTCTTCTACTCGCGAATAGCTAGGTTTAAAGGAGTTTCGGAATACATTTTTGTGCGACTTGATGGCAACCTTATTTCTGCTGGTGATCGAGTCGAGAAAAAATTCGGTAGGGGTGTAGTAGAATCATATTTTTGAGATCCGAATTATGGTAGAAAACTTGGTGGAGAAATGAGAGGCGTGATACTTTGCGCCTAGAGCATAGTGATGTAAGGCAAGCTTTGGATTGGAGAGCTGTCAAACGTGACGAAAAAGAATGGTATCTAAAAATAAAACGAACGGCTCTATTTTGCACAGATTCGGGTTTATTAATTAAGTAGTCTTGCCAGGGATTCCAAATTATTCCAGCATATTCGACCGTCGAACGGATAAAAGACTTGTAGGCCAGCAAACGTACATGAGAGGAGGCCATATACAAATTCCTTCTGAAATAACTCAAGGTACGATTTGCTTTACTAACGATAGAATCGATATGCATTTTCCAATCTAGATTTTCAGTTAGTGTTACACCGAGGTATTTATAATTTGTAACCTTTTCAAGACTATAGCCGCTTATTTCGCAAATGTTGGTAATCGTCGTTTTTTTCGTAGAAAGAGTAAGACATTTAGTTTTCGAGATATTGATAGTCATTTCTCACACCATGGTGATAGAGAATCTAGATTACGCTGCAGGGTGAGGCTGTCGTCTGTTGAGACGATACGACTATATATTATGCAATCATCCGCAAAAAGTCTGACTTTTGAACAAATGGAGTTGGGAAGATCATTTACATAACTTTAAAAAAAGCAGCGGACCAAGGACCGATCCCTGAGGAACTCCAGATTTTACCGAAATTTCGCGCGAGGACACGTTAGATGCTGAAACGGATTGAGTTCTAAGGGAGAGGAATTCCCTTTCCTAGTTACCAAGAGACTGGTGAATGTAGAAAGTTTCAATTTTTTGTAGTAGGTGTTGGTGCAAGACTCGGTCAAACACCTTTGTGAAATCGACGAAAATAGAGTCCGTCTGCACCCGTGAGTGAATGTTCTCATGTATATCGGTAATGAATTCAAATAGTTAAATCTCGCAAGATCGTTCCTTTCGGAAACCGTGCTGCTTCGGGAAAAAGAAGTTGGTATCTAAAAGGTAATTAGCGAGGTGGGTGTAGATCACATGTTCCAGAAGTTTGCAGGGTATGATTGATAGAGAAATTGTACAGTAGTTATTTGCAAGCGAAACGTCTCCAGATTTAAAGACCGGAATAACCTTCGCGTATTTCCGGTTTTTAAGTAATAATCCTTGATCCAAACTCTGTTGAAACAAAAGCTGGAACAAATCACTGGCAGAGTAAGTTTTTGTAGTTTAGGCGTAATAGCATCAGCTTCTGCACTAGAAGAGTAAGCGAGGTTGAGGATGAGCTGGCTAATCCCGTTAAACTCAACGTTTATTTGATCTAAAATATCGATCTATCTCCACGAACCAGCCAATCCGGCGTGAGCGCCGTTGTTGGGGTTTGTATCGCCTGCGCGTTAAAAATATGCCCCCCGCGGGTCGGGGGGTGGTCTCCCTGGTATTCCTTGGGCGCCGCCGGCCAGTGTTTGCCCTGCCCAGCGGCGGCTGTTTCGAACACAAAACACATGCACATTGAGAACTGGGGGGGGGGGGGGGGGGGGGTAGCGAGCGCCCCCCTTGCCCCCCCCCCTCCCCGGGTTGGTGCGCCCATGACAGTGGCGTACCAACTTGTTTTTGAGTCGGGGGGGGGGGGGCAAACCAGACCTCCCCCCCCCCAGGGCGATTCCAAGTCAAGAGGTCCAACGAGTCAAAAGATCCAACGCGTCAAAATATCCATTATTGGGCCTTCTGACTGGTTGGACCTTTTGACTCGTTGGACCTCTTGACTCGCCGTGGATCTTTTCACTCGTTCGACCTCTTGACTCATTGGACCTCTTGACCCACATTGGATCTTTTGACTCGTGTCGGGCGAGTCAAAAGATCCAACGAGTCAAAAGATCCATTATTGGACCTTTTGACTTGTTGGATTTCTTGACTTCCTCTCCGATAACTGTTAAAAGGCGCTTCTGGTCAAGAGATCCAACGAGTCAAAAGGTCCAATAATAGATCTTTTGACTCGTTGGATCTTTTGACCCGCCAGACACGAGTCAAAAGATCCAATGTGGTTCAAGAGCTCCAACGAGTCAAGAGATCCAACGAGTCAAAAGATCCACGGCGAGTCAAGAGGTCCAACGAGTCAAAAGGTCCAACGAGTCAGAAGTTCCAATAATGGGTCTTTATACGCGTTGGATCTCTTGACTCGGCAGACACGAGTCAAGAGATCCATTGTGGTCAAAGGTCAAATCACTCGAGAGCTGCTGCTTCACAATGCAAAGGGGTCACAAAAAGCCTCTCACCACTCCTCTCCTCTCCTAGTCGCGGGGAGGCGTTGTACAATAAGAATCAGTAAACGACTTGACTAGGCGCCTTAGTTTTTGTATATAAAAAAAGTGAAACAGATTTAAGTTTGATGCGCCGCTCAACTACGCAACGCTTTCCGATTAACGGCCGGAAAACCGGCCCGAGGGGGCACCGGGAGACATCCAGTTTCGTGTCTCTGACTATGGGAAGTGGGGAGAGAGCGCTTTTCTTCGCCTCGGGTACATGGCGCCTATCAGGCTTTTGACGCGTCTGTTCACGTTTTCACGACAACATTTTTTTTAATTAACGTCAAATAGAGCACATTTACTGAGCTGGCTAACTCAGTACACTTCCAACCAGTTCACGTCTTTCCATTTTCACTTCCCAACCAGACAGACGTCTGTCGAAGATGTTTACCTTCAAGTTCGCGTCATGCGCGTAGTTGTCTTGGCCGGGACAAGCGGCTGCAGGGCGGAAAATTGTCCCCTTCCTCTTCGCGATTTATTCGAACACTCGCAAAACTTTAATAACTCAAAACGTGTTTTTTTTTTAAATATTAAACGAAGGTAAAGCGAAAGTGGCAGGCACCAGATTCTTTGAACACTAAAATAATTTCATGGCCCCTTTAAAGGGGTCATGAAACGTTATCGGATCGTAACGTTCATGACCTTGCCGGTTCGTACTGGTCCCAGCTTGGCACAAGCATACTCGCACAGACCGCCACTGATTCAGAAACTTCTTTGTCGCGGTGAAATTGTGAAAGTGCGAAGATAAAAGGGCACTACTGCTTTCAGTCTTGCCTTTTCAAAGCTGGATGACGTGATTGTGGAATCGAAACCACCCGACTGACGACAGACGATTCTATTTAGCAGAAGTAGAAAAATCGTTTCAAGGCTCCTTCAGGATGCGCCCTAAATGGCCACTTGGAAGAGAATAACTCTCGATAATTCACCGGTTCTTTTCATGCAGGTACGATATCGAACTTGGCCAATCGGAAGGCATCATGACGGAAAATAATTCAAAATAATAATTTAAAAAATATATATTTTTTAAAGGCGGGTCGTTATTATGGTAAACTTTTCCATTGTAATAAACTTTCAGGTTTGATATAAGGTATATCGAAATTTAAGTTAGCATTTGATAAGCGGTTGCAGTAATGGATCATGGGATGCAAGGCTCCAAATATGTCGCGAAAATATGAAGGTACGACGTTGTTTTTTTCTCGTCTTTGTTATGTGCGAACAAAATAATCCAGTTTGCACGGACAAAATTGACTAGGTGCCGTACATTAAAAGGAGAATTAATATATAATTTACGTGTTTATGCAAACAAAAAAAAAGTTATATATGTACGTATTATCGCAATACATCAAAAGACGATTAAAAGTGTACATGGCTTTTTATCAATGCTGCTCAACCTGGACAAGGGGTACTAGCTAGGGTCCTTCTCCTACTCTAAAAGTCTAAAATGCCTCGAACATAAAGGTGTTCTAGGCGTCGCGCGGAGCAAGATGTCCCGTGACGCTCTCGACTTCTAGCATAGGCTGCGGTCAATCATTAGGTGAGACGGAGTATAACCTGGGGTCTTTAGGTGTACCACGCAGTAGTGGTTACACGAACGCACGTCGATGCTGGTCTTCCGTACAGCGTGGTGCTCACACGTCACACGGCGCACAGCTGGCGTGCCAAAGCCGCCGCCGCTACCGCGCGCGCGATTCGCCGGTCTGCCCATTCCAGAGGAGTGACGTCATAGGCGCGGCAGACGCACTGGCGCCGCCGGGTGCCCAGCTGTCCGCCTCCGTTCCGCAGTAGCCAAGTCTGTCACTGCACCGGAGCTGCTTGATAGCGCCCCTCATTTTGTGCGCATAAGCTCACGCTACGTATATCCTGGCATAGTCGAGCTAAGCCACCGCAATCTTTTTACGTCATACATGCCAACCCTGAATCAGAAATGAGTAAAAGGAAAATTTACGTGCTTTCGAGGATACCTAAACTCGCGTATCAGCTCACCGATGCACTGAAAGACGACGCTTCAGTTGTCGAAATAACGGCGAAGTGTACGTATTGACCTTAACTCTTTCTTGGAATCATTTCGATGATGAACGCTTCTAACTCGAGTTGACCCTGATCCCTCAGTTACCATCCACGATGACGAAGCAACGATCAAACCGGAGGTTGTCGAGAGGCTCCAGAGCGCGGAGATTCTGATCACCGATACGCTCATTTTGAAAGACATCCTCTACAGTCTACCGAACATGAAGTGGGTCCAACTGACAACTGCAGGTGAGAGGAACATAGCTCTCTTAATAAACTGGTGCCCTTCGGTTTATCGACCAGCCTAATACATTGCCGGCCTCTGAGCCTTAAAAGCCATGGATCTAGTGAACAAAAGGTTAGAGCGCAAATGAGCTGGTGGGGTTTAAACATTTGACTAAAATCTCCGAGACTGGGACGAGAAAGGCCGGACAAACACATAGTCTTAAACACAGCTGTGTTCGAGACTTCGTGTTTGTCCGTCCTTTTTCGTCCCAGTCTCAGGGATTTTAGTCAAATGTCATGGATCTATTCAACTCAATGACTGCATGAGCGGAAAGGACCAGGCCAATTGGGAGCCTCGAAGGGAGAAAGGGAGGGGGAGGAGGAGGAGGAGCAGGAGAAAGGGGAGGTGTGGCAGGTTTAGTCTGACAGGAATGAAAATTATGGGTTTTAGTTTTGACTATCAATATCTCGAAAATTAGTTTTCGAGATATTGATAGTCATTTCTCACACCATGGTGATAGAGAATCTAGATTACGCTGCAGGGTGAGGCTGTCGTCTGTTGAGACGATACGACTATATATTATGCAATCATCCGCAAAAAGTCTGACTTTTGAACAAATGGAGTTGGGAAGATCATTTACATAACTTAAAAAAAAGCAGCGGACCAAGGACCGATCCCTGAGGAACTCCAGATTTTACCGAAATTTCGCGCGAGGACACGTTAGATACTGAAACGGATTGAGTTCTAAGGGAGAGGAATTCCCTTTCCTAGTTACCAAGAGACTGGTGAATGTAGAAAGTTTCAATTTTTTGTAGTAGGTGTTGGTGCAAGACTCGGTCAAACGCCTTTGTGAAATCGACGAAAATAGAGTCCGTCTGCACCCGTGAGTGAATGTTCTCATGTATATCGGTAATGAATTCAAATAGTTAAATCTCGCAAGATCGTTCCTTTCGGAAACCGTGCTGCTTCGGGAAAAAGAAGTTGGTATCTAAAAGGTAATTAGCGAGGTGGGTGTAGATCACATGTTCCAGAAGTTTGCAGGGTATGATTGATAGAGAAATTGTACAGTAGTTATTTGCAAGCGAAACGTCTCCAGATTTAAAGACCGGAATAACCTTCACGTATTTCCGGTTTTTAAGTAATAATCCTTGATCCAAACTCTGTTGAAACAAAAGCTGGAACAAATCACTGGCAGAGTAAGTTTTTGTAGTTTAGGCGTAATAGCATCAGCTCCTGCACTAGAAGAGTAAGCGAGGTTGAGGATGAGCTGGCTAATCCCGTTAAACTCAACGTTTATTTGATCTAAAAATATCGATCTATCTCCACGAACCAGCCAATCCGGCGTGAGCGCCGTTGTTGGGGTTTGTATCGCCTGCGCGTTAAAAATATGCCCCCCGCGGGTCGGGGGGTGGTCTCCCTGGTATTCCTTGGGCGCCGCCGGCCAGTGTTTGCCCTGCCCAGCGGCGGCTGTTTCGAACACAAAACACATGCACATTGAGAACTGGGGGGGGGGGGGGGGGGGGGGAGCGAGCGCCCCCCTTGCCCCCCCCCCCCCTCCCCGGGTTGGTGCGCCCATGACAGTGGCGTACCAACTTGTTTTTGAGTCGGGGGGGGGGCAAACCAGACCTCCCCCCCCCAGGGCGATTCCAAGTCAAGAGGTCCAACGAGTCAAAAGATCCAACGCGTCAAAATATCCATTATTGGGCCTTCTGACTGGTTGGATCTTTTGACTCGTTGGACCTCTTGACTCGCCGTGGATCTTTTCACTCGTTCGACCTCTTGACTCATTGGACCTCTTGACCCACATTGGATCTTTTGACTCGTGTCGGGCGAGTCAAAAGATCCAACGAGTCAAAAGATCCATTATTGGACCTTTTGACTTGTTGGATTTCTTGACTTCCTCTCCGATAACTGTTAAAAGGCGCTTCTGGTCAAGAGATCCAACGAGTCAAAAGGTCCAATAATAGATCTTTTGACTCGTTGGATCTTTTGACCCGCCAGACACGAGTCAAAAGATCCAATGTGGTTCAAGAGCTCCAACGAGTCAAGAGATCCAACGAGTCAAAAGATCCACGGCGAGTCAAGAGGTCCAACGAGTCAAAAGGTCTAACGAGTCAGAAGATCAAATAATGGGTCTTTATACGCGTTGGATCTCTTGACTCGGCAGACACGAGTCAAGAGATCCATTGTGGTCAAAGGTCAAATCACTCGAGAGCTGCTGCTTCACAATGCAAAGGGGTCACAAAAAGCCTCTCACCACTCCTCTTCTCTCCTAGTCGCGGGGAGGCGTTGTACAATAAGAATCAGTAAACGACTTGACTAGGCGCCTTAGTTTTTGTATAAAAAAAAAGTGAAACAGATTTAAGTTTGATGCGCCGCTCAACTACGCAACGCAGGCTGCGGTCCCACGGCGGCCATGACATATGACGCTTTCAGCACGTTTTCGAAATGCGATCGTGGCGTGTTCAAGCTTGCTAAAATGATGTGTTATATATCATCTTGTAGTGTACAACATTATCTTTTATCTGATGTAGGATTTGTTTTCCTAGTGCAAAAAGCTAATTCAGAGGGCACCCGCGAACATTGACCTTTTCGGCAAAACATGGTTTCGTAGTACAGTGGTACAGGGTGCACTAGTGGAGCAATTTCTTTCTAATTTTAGAATGTTATAGAAGAAGAGTGCGTTCATTGTCAACGGAGGCCCTTTTTTCGTTTTTTATTTTATTTTGACAGATATTTACTTTAGAAAAATTGACTTTGCGGAAGCACTTCAGTCGCGAAGTTTTGGGCGCCTACTCGGTGATTTTATTTGAAACTTTTTACATCAGTTTGTAATTATGGTCGAAAGAGTTACGCTAAATTTCATTGTAATATGGCTTAAACTTTTTTCGGAATGCTCACGTGAAAAGTGACAAAAACCGTTAATTTTGGCAAACTTCATTTGGTAGTACAGTGGTACAGCGCTTAGGGATTGGCACACACGAATAAAATTGTAGGCCCGCAAAGAAAAACATATTCTGCTTTGCAAAGCGAGGCCCTTTTTCTAAATTTCACTTTTGATTTTCCATAAAAAAAGTTTGAATATAGGTGAAATCACGTATTTGTTGATAGTCAAAAACGAGTATTTTGACCCCTTTTGGCAGACATTTAGGCCGATATTTTTAGTATTAAATGGAGATTACTGTTCCAGGTCCTGATTATTAGCCCACATTTTCACTAATCGAGCCTATTTATTAAAAAGAATCATAAAACACACAGAAAACACAAATTGGATGTCTGGTTGCGCCCTCTATGTGGCGGTGGCTGAAATGTGACTACGCGAGGTTCAGGAAACTGCCGAGGATGGCGCTGATTCCAGCTGTGGTTGCCAGCTTCGGAAACTGGTTGTACACTTGGCTTCTTCCGTTTCTTGCAAAATAACGTGCTGGAAAACTTGGTCGAAACTCGTGAGGTCCTTTATAACACGGTACTTTCTGCTAATATAGCTTTCAGGAAGAATTTCAGTCGCTTTCATATTGTTAAACGATTTTTTTTTATGCGAGGCTCCACCGGTTCAGTTTGCTGAATAAATTGTTCACGGAACCGATATCGAAGTTTCAAATTACCGAAATGCCAAAATCGCCAGTTCTGCGTAGATACGCAGCGTGACGCACGTGCTTCTGGTGCGTGTGCACGTACGTGTTTGCTGCGTAGTTCTTCGGTTGCTGCGAGTTTTCGCGCATTTATTGTGCACTGCTTACCTCCGTCTGCGCACGCATCTCATCCTTGTAACTACCCCTGCTCTGTTTGCCTAGAGTGAAGTTTGTGTCTGTCTTTTCGTTCGCTGACCAAGCTCGTGTCGGTGTCCTTCCTACTGGCTGCTGTTCGTGTTTGCGTACCGTGTGTGTCGCTTTGATTACTAGGTCCCCTGCTTATGGGGTGGAGCAAGCGGTGGGCGTCGCGCCAGGGGTGGGTCGTGATTGGGGAAACAGCTTAGCAGCCGACGCCGACTTCGGCGCGTTTCTTCTGCGCACGCGCGTACTGTCATTGATATCGCTACTTCGCGCCGTGACGATGCGCTGATCTACAGGCCGGTCGGCGCTCGCGTGATATTAGAGAGTTTTAGTAGATCGTTCCCATGACTCCGATAACGGTACCCGATACTCCGCCACCGCCTCCCTTGCGCATGCATAGTATCGTTATCGGGGCTATCGGGGGTATCGGAACGATCTACTAAAACTCTCTATTGTTGAAAATTCTCGAGCGTGTATTTACGTTTCGAAAGCCATAATAGAATTAAAGTGGACATTTGGCCGGCAGCCGGCATACCGTGGCTCTGAAAACAGATTGCTAGGAGTGCCCTCTCGTTCGCTGGTTCCACGCTGGGTGCGCGCAGTCCGTGCTTCTGGCCTCCCCGGCCGCCCAAATGCGTTTTTCTGATGCTTGTTTTGTTTTCAGTAAACAGACAATAGATTCCTGCTGATATTCTCCTTTATAATCTTCACTCTTGACAACTCTTTAGTGTTGGAAGGAACTCCGTCAAATTTGACGATAATGCATGTGTAAGTACAACTGGAACCTCATAGTTGCAAGAATACTTTTCCTGGATTGTCTGCATTAGAGTGCCTCCATGTGCGCGTCGCGCACATGAAGGCTCCCTAGTTTGCACCTTTCTGATAATATGATCGGTCTCCATAAATTGCACTTCCCCGCTTCGGGAGCACGGCCAGCGGTGGTTCTCTGTCGGTCATCGAACCTCACACACGTGAAGCGTTGTCAAAGCTGTGATATACCGGGCGTTTTATTATTCTGTTTTGTTTTGTTTTTTTTTGCTGAAAGAAATTATACTTTTGGTATTCCCGGGGATAACATTATCGGCTGCGGCGGACGTAAAGGAACGAGCGTAAATTGACAGTTAGTGGCCTAATAAACTAATAATTGCCATTTGCGAACGCTGGAGAGGGGGCGACCTCCTCTCCCCCGTTCGCTCCGCTGAAGTGGAACAGGGTGGGAGGAGCTCC